AATTCAAATGTTAATGAAATCTAATTCTTAGTAACCGATATGCATTAAATTAAAGTTTTGTTTCGATACAATTGTTACATTTGAAAATAAAGTTATATAGGATTAACCTATATAATATGTGGGTATAAAAAATGGAACGAAATAATTGATTTTCAATTAAAAATAAAATAGCCTCAAATTACAAAAATATTATTCAATATTGTCTATGTCGGTGTAAAATTTTTTTGATTTACAATATTAAACCTGCGTTGAAAACCAAATATATTTTCAAATAAATTACCTAACTCATTTTTGAATAATTGAAGAGGACGCCACAACCGCATGACGTGCTATCTCCGCCTTACAAACACACGATATAGCACATTTTCCTTTAGCAGTGATAACATATTAAGTTCTGCTGTAGGTTTTAATATCAGAGTGAATTGAACTTTTATCAAAATTAAAGATAAAAACAAAAATAAATAAATTTTATTTTATTTTTCTGTTTAATTAATACAACGGGTGGAAGCCCAATTTCAATGTACAGTGTGGGTATTTACATTTTAAACAAAAATTGTATGATAGATAAATAAAATAAAACATCAGTTTGATGGCAAGTAGCGCAATTAAAATAAAAAGGTGATGAAGGTGTTAAGATTGGCCTGCCTCATATAGCGAGTTAGGGACTCAATATTTAAGTAGTCTATAGGGCAAGAATGAATAGCGAATGGAGCATTGGTGCGGGTAGTGTGAGCAGAAACTTTTAAGTTCATTATTGGAAGAGAGAAGGAGAATTTTTAAATGAGATTCAATATTAAATAATATCATTAAAAAGTCAATGGTCAGATAGAGATAAGAGATTCAAATTACATAGCATTGGATCGTAGTTATTAAGAGGGTAGACGATATACAACTTGAACCCGACGAAGATAAGAAACTCTTGGTGGACACATTCAATTAGGCTATCGGTTCACCATTGAATAGGGATTCTATAAAATAAAATTATACTCAAGAATGGGCCTAACTAGAGCTCACTATAATTTCTTCAATAACCTAGGAAATTTAAACTCTACATCAACTCTTTTTAAGAAACCTAATACCTTCATTTCCTTGTACGTGGTATAATCAAATCAGCTTTAGGGAATAATAAGGAAATAAAGATGAATGCATGATCGCTAACAAAATTTTCAATGGAGACAAGAGTGGTACCATTAATTAAATTTGAGAACATATAAGGGGAGTGGCATCTACAGAAGGACATAGATTCGCACTTATCTACGTTACGCTTAATAGTTTCATCCCATTTAACGAATCTATCCTCTTGTAAAGTTTTCCTCTTAGTTTTCTTATAAACGTACACAATCATATTAAGCATCAATTTTAAGAAATAGCTTAACATCATCGGCAAAACACAGAAACTTAAAGTAGAGAAGGACACTAGAGACACTGTTAACGAATATTGAGAATAATATTAGAGATAATTGCTTACTTTGAAAGACACCAGATGTAAGGGAACTTATCATTTTTACATCAGTTACCATATTTTTTTGACTGATAAAATATACTAAAATAACCAATAAACAAAAAAAAAAACGGGAGGCACACCCTCCACCTTTCCTATGGCACTGGAGTACACTATTTAGAGGAGGTTAAGTTCCTGTTTTAAAAAAGTCCACAATTCCGAGATGTCACTATATAGATAGGTTATACGTTTATTATAATATTTTGAAATTTACTTATTAACTTATATAGTCATAAAATCAACATCTTAACAATTAGGTTGGTAGTCTTATGGATAGGACGTTAGGTAAAATTAGGCTGGGTCTCGGGTTCAATATCCGACTGTGGAAAGTTACAAGTTTCCATTTTTTCTTATTAAAAAAAAAAATATCATTTTTAAAATATTTAATAAACAAAATCCCATAGCCAACCGTTATTTTATAAATATTTTAAAAATATTATTAAAATGAATAATATGGAAAAATAAAACATTTTATCAATAATTTCATTATAAAAATAATATATTATAAATCTTAAGAAAATATATTTTTACTAACTGGATGTAGTCATCTTTAAGCTATTTATAGATATCTAAATTTTACGGAGTTTTTTTTACGTAATTTTTGTTTAGTAGGTACTTAGTGGATAAAATTGTTAGAAAAAACATAAATGCTAGACAATTTAACAGGAGGTTCATTATTTTCCGTACTTTGAGGTCAAAATAAAAAAAAAATTGAGTTTAATGTTTCTAGTATTTTTTTTTTAAAGAATTTTAATATTAAATATCGTTTTCTCGTTAGCAATGATTTAGCGTTGCTTACAGGTTTATATTCAATTACCTATACCAGTGGCTGCACCTGTCTTCTTTGATCAGCTTTTTTTGATTTTTATTCGATTGTTTTCAAAATTAAGTTATTTCAGAACTTGTTTGTAGTTAAAACTGATGGCGTTGAATACTATCAATAAATGAAAATTATTGAATTACAAAGTTAAAAATGTTTTTTGTGAAGGCCATGATTTAGTTCAGTTTTATTAGAGTATCTGTGAAATAAAATGTATGAGAATCTCTACATAGAAAATTATACGTACAATAATAAATTTGTTAATGCTGTTAAACGAAAAGGTGCTTCACTTAATATATCGGAGCAAGATTTCTGGTAATAATAATGTACATATTACGAAAAACACAAACCACTAATAAATAAATATAACTGTAAAACCAATACATATTTCGCTTTTACCAGAATCTAAAAACAGCATCATTCTAAATCTAATACTTTCCGTGCCTTGCTTTAAATCTAAAATGAGTAAACTACCTTACGATTCTACGAGTTTAGTTTCCTCAATACGGTATTGCATAAGAATTGGACTCTTAATATCGCATTCGAAGAACGCATTTAAACGGATTACAATAATGCTATTTGAATGCAAATTTTACTTTGTTTTGTATTTATACGATTTGTTCTAATAATTCTGAAAATTTTTTTAGCACTACTATATTTACATACATAAAAAATTAAACAATTAGGGTCTAATATTTAAACAAAATAATAAAGAACATATAATATTATATAAATAAATATTATTTTAAATACTTTAATGTAAAATATCACAGTAAAGGTTTCTGCTTCTTCTAGCTCTTCCGAGTGTGCACTCATGTAAAACTATATTATAATTTATTGCTCTTTAACCAGATATAAAATAACGCTAGATTTTCTAGAGTCATTGCCATAACCCACAAACATCCATTTCAAGTTTTATGATCGGTATATGTATACATTAGAAATGTTTTTTATTTTAATTATTATTTATCATACTGGTTCTGGTTCCTTCTCTTTTATTTTATTTTGTTTAAAATCTGATATTATAGGTATAATTCAAAATCTAAAACTTTTCGAATTACACACGCTAAGGGAAGAGTGCATAATATTTTGATCAAATATTAATGTTAAGGTAATTTATAATTTCGTTTAATATAACGTCTTTAATCTTTATTTTATATTAATTAACGGCTGTAACTTATTTCTATGTTACATAGGTAACTAAACATTTTTTTTGATCACTATATAAGCTATATCTGTAGTCATTACCTTAATTAGAAGTATTTTTTTTTTCCATAAGATAAAATTATGACAACAATCGTCGAAATAATGGCATTGCAAAAAAATTATAACTGCAGAATTGTATTTAAAAATTATGGCACCCTTTTTTTCTTAAACTTTCTTTTCGCTTATAGGCTCTAAAAAGGTGTAAAGCCCCAAAAAATCTTTTGTGTCCTCTTTTATTAGAAAATGTAATTTTTCTTAGTATTAAAAATTTATATTTTTACCCTATTGCACTTATTGTTTTATTAATTTAGAGAACACATTTATTTGATCATATTATTAATTACTTATAAGAAAGGTCAATCTATTAGAGGTGGTTTAAGAGGGGGGCCTAAGCCGTGCCCCCACCCCAAGTCCATATTTTTTATTGAAAACTAATTACAAAAAAAAACAAAAAAAAAAAACAGAATATTGACTATTACAGACACGTACTAGTGCGTTGGACTGTAAGTAGTTAGAAGTATCCAATATCTATGCAACGAATTATAAATAAACTATAAAATATGTTTTTTGTTTTTTTGAAAAATATGACTTACGCCGCTACCAAGTCTCTAGAGCCTTCTCTGCAATGTATAATAATTATTCTTAAAGCAATTTTACATAAATTTGTCAGTATAATAATACATTTTTCAACTAATAGGTACGTACATTTCGCCACGCGCTGTACCGCCACACAAATGGTGCTCCACTACTCTCCCCCGATATAAAATTAAAAGTGGAATTCAATGGATGATGGAATTTAAAAATTTCAAGATGAAAATGTATTTTAACTAATACTCCATTTATTTATATAATTTTTAATAAAGGTTGCCATTTGTGAATTAAAAGTAGATAGTGGTTAAAACTTTTAAAAAATTGATTCACTTACACAGCTCTGATATCATCATTATTAAATTATATGTGATTTGTGGATATGAAACGATATACGATGTCATTGGAACAACGCACTTTTACTTGCCTTCGGTAATTTGCGTGTTTTGTTCCTAATATTTGTACACGCATGATTGCAATTACCTTATTTGAAATACCGTCGTCGAATTAATTTATTATTATTTTAATAGAATAAAAAATATACAGTAGAATCCGCTTAATTGGGACACATCGGGCGGTGACCTATTTGTCTCCATTATCCGACTGTCCCGATTAACCGAATAACTAATAAACCGAAACTATTAAATTGCACATACTATGTAAATTGTATGTACAAACATAATAACTTTATTTAAAAAATACATACATACACACTTAATTCATACTTTTTTTAAAAATTACATATTATTATTAGCAGTAGTACGTTATACTTACTATTTAGTATTACCTATTAAATATCGTAAATTAATTATATGATTATTTTATTATGTATACATATTTATTATAAATTAATTGATTATCATACATAATTCATATTTTATTAGGCTACAGAAAATCGTCCAATCTTCTTTGCTGTAATTCATTAAAACTTTGCTTATGGACAAAATCTGCACAAACGTCTAGCGAAGTTGTTGAGACATTTTCGTTTCCGTTTTGCATGAAATATAGTCTCATTTGATCAATGCACTTTTCTGTTTCTCTTGTTGTAATTTTGACGGGTTGGACATAGTCATCGTCATCACTTTCTTCATTTTTCAGACTTCTCTCAGCAATTTCCTCAAGAATATTATCGTAATTCTCATTTTCATTGAAACACCGCACACCATCATCGATTTTTAAAAATAGCTCCCCATTTCCTACACATTGCGCTACGTCATTTTCAATAGAAGCAAAAGGAAGAATAGGTAGATCAATCAGTGGTCTGAAACCGCAATGTGCAATACAATGCTGAATCGTAACAGATGACAGTTTTCTCCAACTGTCAGCGACAAATTGTATTGCTTGTAGAATGTTTATTTTAGAACTGATGTCTATAGCACATGTAGATGGAATCACTAAATTATCTTCAATAGCTTTCAAAACGTATGTTACCAGTAGACCAAGGTAATGAGCTTTTAAATTTTTAATGATCCCCATATCGAGTGATTAAATGAGAAAAGTAGTATTTGGAGGCAAGAACTCAAGTATGACATTTTTTAAATTTATTAAGTGGGGATGTGGTCCAGCATTATCAACAATTAATACAATTTTCCTTGATTGTTTTCCAAGCTCTTTGTCCCAGTCTTTTAACCACGATGTAAATATTTCTGCTGTCATCCATGCATTTTTATTCACTAAATAAGAAACAGGTAAGTTTGTCCATTTTACATTTTTGAAACATCTTGGCTTTGGGGACTTTCCGATTATCAACAGCTTTTTTTTATCTGTGCCGGCCATATTACAATAACATAAAACTGTTATACGATTCATAGCTTTTTTTGATCCTTCGAGTGTTTCACGTTTATAAATGCCCTGAGGAGAAAATTTTTTAAAAATTTCCGGTAATTTAACTAAAGACCATTCATCAGCTCCGTTTGTATCAGCACTTGATTTTCTCCGGGAAATTGCTAGAATTTAATATTATTCCGGTCCTTCAAACGACTTATCCAACCTTCTGTGGCCTTAAAATTACCATGTCCAATTTTTTCAGCAAAAAACTCAGCTTTCTGCTGTAACATGGGGCTCGAAATACAAACACCACGTTCTGTAATAGCAGAAAACCATTCGTTCATAGCTTTGTCTACTTCGGGATCTTTGCCTTCTCGCTTTCTTTTTCTGTTCACAGGTGCACATTTGTTGTCGTTTAATTTTTCCCATTGTTCACGAATAGCTTTTTCATTATTTTTCAATCGGCTTAGTACCGATTTAAAGGTGCCTATTATTTTCTCTAACTCACGAAGACTGGAAGAATGAGATTGAGCTTTAATTTTATCCAGATTAGAAATTTTTTCAATCAACATTAAATCTTTACGAGACATAATTGTTACATATTAACACAAACTGAGATCAATAAAAACACACATACGTTAATACGCAGAGATGACAGAACGTGAACTAAAGTTTTTCAATTTTGTACGTAGGCTAGTCGACTCTTACCGTGGTAGTAGAAGAAAAATAAATGATTACCTATATAATAGAGCTATAAAGATTAGATAAATGATTGACGTAATTGACATTACCTATATAATAGAGCTGTAAAAATTAGATAATTACAGTTTCGATAAGAAGTAGATAGATAATTTAGGTCAGAATATCTAATTAGACGCTTTTATTTTCGTCCCTTATAACCGATGGTTTGTCCCAGATAAACAAATGCCTTAAACGAATACATTCGTTCGGGACTATGCCAATTCGTCCCTATTGAGTGGTTGTCCCCTTTATGCGAAGTTCCAATTAAGCGGATTCTACTGTTTTCCAAAAGATTTATTGACAAGTGTTTTATGTGAAAAGAAAGCAACTGATTAGCCTACTAGTGTAGGCTTTACAAAGGGTACGATTTGAATAGGCTTTACGAAATATCTGAACAGAGGATAAAACAAATAACCATAATATATGGGTCTGTCGGAATGAGAGATTAAATAATATTTTGTAATAAATATTTAAAAAAAAAAAAATTAAATTAAAACATGTACTGTGCACATTACCGAGAATGGAATTTCGGGGACTATACAACAACATACCCGTACGCAATGGAATTAAAAAAAAAAAAAAAACCGACTAGAAATAAATTTGTCAGAAAAATACCGGGAATATAATATTTATGTATACGAAACATCATTTCGCATCGCATTGCAGTGCATTCTAATAATGTTGACGTAATATATAGAGTGTATCTGTAGATTTGAGAATTTTTCCAATACCTACCTATGCATAAATTGCATAGGAAACTCTGTAAAGACGACAAATGAAATATAATGAATACAATAATATTTTAATATCTAAACACTATAATTTATATACAATAATATCCATGTATTTCTGGTTAAATATTTCTATATTTCCTGTGTTTAAATTTGTATTTTATAATATGTTAAAAATTGTATCGATTATTTTCTAATCACGCAAAAATCAAATTATTTTTATATTTTCTAATGCTGTAAATGAGACAATTATAGGTTTAAGAACACTGTAAATAGATCAAAATGACAAAGAAAAAAAATAATCTGTCAATATCTGATGACAAAATTAAGTTTGATACTCAAAAAAGTAATTTTAATTGTGCATGCACGCACTATGAGAGTTAAAAATCTGAAACTTATCTAAAAGTATGTATTTCAGTACTCCTCATCACTATCCGAAAAACCCATTTTAATTTAAGACCATCTGGCTGAAATATTTAATGATACATAAAATACGGAACACACTGTATAATATGTATATAATATGTATAATACAATCATTTTAAAAACGAAAACTTTCGATTATTTTAACTTTTCGGTGTATCGGAGATTATAAAACAAATATTTTGACAACTTTGCTTATGTGTGAAGTTTACAATTTCATTAATATTTAAATACACACTATATAGAGACCCGGATGCTTGACTTAAGTAACATTTCCACGCTTTTGACAAATATTTAGCGTATAATATTTTTCCTTTTAAAATGTAATGCATATTTACTTAAAACTTAAACTCCTGCTTTTGTGTTAAACGTAGAAGTGATACAATTCGATGGTAGGCAACTTAAGACAGAGCGAAACACATAATTTTTAATTCCTTATCCTTAATTTGAATATTGAATGAAAGCTAATATTCCCAAGATTTCAAATATTGAATATTAAAATATTTGAACAGCACTTTTGTAGTAAAACAAATAGTATAAGTGGGATTAATTAATTAATGGACCACTGTTGTAGATGAGAAGTTGAGAAGTTAAGATAATAAGGTGATTTTAATGTATATCTGTAAGCAAAATTATTCATTGCTAACAAAAAATAATTCTGAGAGGAGCTCGGTTAATAGTATTACTTTTTAAACAATAAATATATTTTGAAACAATTTTTATTGTCCTAAAGTACCTAAATAGATTTGTTTCTTCTCATTTTTTACTAAAAAAATTTTCGTTAGAATTAGATACTAAAATAAGTATACAAAATATGCTTGATTAAATTAATTTTTTTTGTTTTGATCACAGAAGACTTATAATTAACCACTTGCTCAATTTTCAAGCATTTCTGTTTAGTCTAGCAATTTTATCTGCATCTGCAATGTACCTACCAAATAAAAACTACTCAAAAAATTTAAATGTCTATAAATAGCTCAAATATGGCTCAATTTTTTTTATAGTTTTATCATGTTATGAAATGTAAAATATTAGTTTCTATCCGAATTAGAAATTGCTACAAATATTTTTAATTTAATTATATAAGTATTATTTTCGTAAATTTTACTGTTTTCCAGACATTTTATCCTGGTTTTTCCTAGTTGTTATAAAAACCGCATAAAAAATTAAAAAACTATTTGCTTAAATTTTCATTTGGATAGAATTTCCTTTGAAGAAAAATAGTATACTTGATAGTATACTTCCGTTACGGAAATTTGCGCAATATATTAAGGGGTATTTTTAATTGAAATAGTCCGAGCGACAACAGCTTTGATCTCTAGGTGCACCCATAGTGCATATTTTGTTTCTTCCCTGAAAATCTACCTAAACAAAAACATTTTTTTCGGAACTCAGGTTTTAAAGTGTGATCTCTGGAATGATAACAGGTAAATACAACCACTAGATTACGACTGACATACTAAAAAATGTGTATTATAAAATGGTTTTTATTGAATTATTTTACAAAACACGTCTTACAATATCCGCATATCAGAACTTCAACAATTTGCATTTATGCATTTACAATATTTATTTTGCAAAATGCATTTATAACTTCGAAACCAAGTCAGACCGATCAATTCTATTTTCACTTTTGTTCTTAAATTGACAATATAAATATGATCAAAATAAAAAACAATAGAAAATAAATAAAATTGGATTCATTCCATATAATGTTTTACTCAAACGATTTTTGTCAGAGTTTAATATTAAAATTTCTTTAAAAAAAAAATACTACATGAAGCCAACATTTTTTTTGTACACAAATTAAGTTTTTTAACAAACTTTCTGTAACATTACTTTCGTAAATTTACCGTTTTTCTGAAAAATTGAATTTCCTTAGTTTTTACACTTTGTATGTAGTTTACATACCAAGATTTCTGGCAGACATATTTGTCAAAGTATAAAAATTTTTTTTTAAAAATAAACATAATTGTAATTTGCAATGGGGCTCAGCCCCCTTCCCTGATGACATGCCTGAAAGAAACACTGATACGCCTTATTATTTATAATAATTATACGGTACATCATCCCTACATGACTTTTTTCTCATAACGCTATTTAAGGTCTTATGATTTTCAATTGAATCTATACTATTACTTATTCGATACATAATAATCTTCCAAAGTTATTTGACCAATAAAAAAAAAAACAAAATGGAGTTTCGTATTGTTTTTTTTTTATATAAGAGTTTAATTTTTAAAACAATAAAACAACCGAAAGTTGTACAGTTGTTTACCATAGAAGCTCAAAGATATAAATTATAAATTTAAATATCCTATTTTCCCAATTTCCTCACATACAATAGCGACATACCTCTTTTTAGTATCAGCTCTTTTTTTTCAAAAATTGACTTAGATTTATCGTGACAATTTTATTGAATAATAGAAAAACAGCGGCGGTAACACTCTTAATACATCCTAAACATAACACAATATTTAACTCTATATATTAAAACTTATGTGTATTACACGAGTATATAATTTATCGAGTGTACAAAGACTATACTTGCGTTCAAATACGAATTTTGTATCCATTACCGAACCTATTTCAGGAAAGCAGGTCGCATATGTACATTTTACTGAAATATAAATGTCGGTAGATCGAATTTGTTTATCACTGAAATGACGTTTCGTCGACGATTGGCCAATATAATAATATAATTGAGAACTCGCGCATCGTATAAGATGATTTCATCGGGCCAATGTGGGGGCCTTTAAGCGTCTCGTAAGCGCTTCTTGTTTTTTTGAAAATGTATTAAGTGGTTAATAATAATGCTATTATTATGGTATTATAAAAATTCCCAAAACCCGTAGTCACGATTTTTTTTTTTTTATAAATATTTAAATATTTCAAATGTTTATGAAAATCTTGAAATCCGCAGCATTTTAAAACATATTCTTTAACAAAAGTACGCGCATAATCGTTTTTCGTTTGCAATGATTTATCGTTCCAGTATACATTTCTGAGTGTCCCATAAAAATATACTCATCGCAATATTTTCGGAGTTAATAATGATAATCAAACTCAATTTTTTTTTTATAAAAATACTCATAGGAATAAGGACAACAAAAAATACTAAAAAAATAACTTTTTTTATTATTATTTTTGAAAAATTTTAAGATTTATTTTATAGAGTTTATTCTTCTGAAAATTTTGGCTTTTAATTTTTTTAATTTTACTAAATTCGTAATTTTTAATAATTGTTTAAAGTTCAGAAAAAAAAAATGAACAGACATACTTCGCACGTAGGTGGGTTGTAGGTGAAAAGTTGAGTATAGGTATACATTATAACTCAAACAGATATGAATATTTTTAGTCCTTATTCTTGGGAGTAGTATAAGAAAAAAACAGAATTTGATAACATTTATTATTTCAGAAGATATTGTAATGGGTATATCTTCGTAAGACAGCCTGTATAATAGTGTAGGTGCTGTTTAGAAAAAAAAAAAATAAGTTATCGATAGTAATAATAACATTGCAGTGAAAATATAATACACGTACACTATGTGTAGATGGCCAGTATAATCTTTCTTTTCTTTTTTTTCAAAAAAAGTATCTGTCACGAAAAATAATTAATATCAATGAGTTTTTTCGTCAAAATCCGGTCAGTTGTTAGTTGTTCGGTGTGACTGGAAAAATTGGTCAAGACACATAGTCGATAAGTCCGCAAATAAAATGCAACGTGAATGGGTATCCGTAAGTCCGTTTTACGGTCGACCGCCATTTTTCCGGACCCCTTAAAATATTTTCACGTCAATAAATCTATTACTTCTCCTATAAAAGTATTTTATCGTCGCCATAATATACGTATTACAGTAGCGGGTTTATAATTATTGTTTTAATTCGGACGATTCGTCTTCATCGTGCCGCGCAGTAAATAGGACATCACCATACGTTGTTTTTCTAGTTGAACAACGTGAGTGCACATTTTTAACTAATATTATGGTAAAATAATTACATTATGCATTAAACATTTTCTTTAATAATATTTGTTTATTATCGTACCTATTTTCCCGTTTTTCCTACGTTTTTTTCCAGTTTTTCCCGATTTTTTCAATTTATTTATTAAGATATGAATTAATATTAAAAAACTCTTTTTGATTTTATCGGAAATAATTCGACGATGTATAAAATATTCTGAGTAAGAGTCAATGATCGGTAAACTAATATACCGAATAGTGTTTTCAGTGATTAAAAAGAGACCAATTTCGAAATGTGACTATATTTACCGAAAATTCAGAGACATTCGTGAGAACTAACTAAACCAAATTTCTGGAAACCCAACGAGAGACGAGGCTTCTAAAATGTTTTTCTTTCGCACATACTTTCTCATTGATAATTTTCCCTTAAATAAAAAATAATATAGACTCCGTCCTCCTACATTAACAACTGCATCGTTTAGTTTTTAAACGCAGCGAGGAAATAATTGGTTTCACTACAATGTGTAATTTGTATTATAATTTTATTTTTGGAAGGGGGTTGGGTGGTCTGTGGACAACTTTTCTACAGAAAATTTAACGTCCAATTCATAGAATATAATATCTTCAAATATTTATACAATTACTACGTAAATCATACATAAAACAACAATTAAACGCATATAATTTTCGCTAAAACAGTTTTGATAATTTCTTTAAGGTAGCGATAATTTCGCTTTTAATCACAAATAGAGATTTCGTGTTCATGTATTCAAGCGGTTTTTTAAGGATACTTTTTTTCTTCCATATCGTTCCCCTCCGATAAAAACAAAAACAATTTAAAACGATCGATAATAATTATTTATTTTAAGTGTCCCTCTCGCATTCTCCTTTTTTTTTTTTTGTAGTGAAACGATTTTTTCTCCAAAACGCGGTTGGCCAGTTTCGATAACCTTTATTTTATCGTTCGCGCGTATTTTTCGATAACGTCCGTAAAATTTATTATCCACACTGCAGTGTCCGTTCCGATTTCTTTTATTTTATATTATATATATATATATAAGATAATATATAAGCAAGTTTCCGAAACGCGGGAGATTGATTTTTTTGGGGAAGGGGGATAGGGAAGTTAGTTATCACAAAAGGTATTTTGAAAGGTTAAGTTTCAAGGTAATTTTGACGAACTTAAAGAACACGTTTCAATTATTTTCAATAATCTTATATAAAATTGTTGTATCCCCTAAATAATTCTTACCACAGATAAGGGTATAAAAATCTTTTAGAAGAGAAAAACGTTTTACTTACTTTTGAATACATGAGGCTTAGCGGCAGACTCATCGCGATCGATAGTAGCCACACAAATACGATTTTCAGTATCACCCTCCTTCGAGTCTTATTCCGGCCAAATTTCATCGGATACCTAAGGCTCAGATACCGGTCCACGCTGATCGTACACAGATGCATTATGCTCGCTGTGCAAAACAACACGTCCAGACATATCCAAGCTAGACAGTAGACCGGGGCGAACGGAAACTCTCCTGGAAATTACAGAATAATTTTTATTTTTTATTTTACTACAAAAACTCTTATATCGAATGTGTGTAAGTAAGTTTAGAATCATTAATAAGGTGGGATCAAATTATGCGTCTTTACCGAAAACTTTAACTTTTCCACATTTTTTTTAGGTATATTGTAAACAGGGTGTCATACAGTGATGTCTAAATGCCAATAACTTTGTCCATATTAATTTAATTTTTTTTTTTTTTTTTTATCTGGTTTTGTGTTACAGGACAAAAATGTGAAGAAAAATTTAAATTTATTTTCATCCCTTAGTCGCTGAAAAAAAAATAACTATCACTTTTTAAAATTTTCAAAATAGCCATTTCATAAAATGTATTATTATAAAAAAAAAATGTATCATAAGTTTATATCAGATCAACAATTTCTTAGTAATAGCCGTTTTAATATATCTAAAGAAAGGTATGAAAAACGTGACTACCATATTTGGAGACAGCGAATGATAATTTTGATACAAGATAATACAGTTTCCAAAAGATAACAATTTTTAAAATAAGTAGATTTTCATTAGAAATTTAAACGACTATAACTAAGAAACTATATCCATCGGATATGAGTATATAAATTCAAATGTATAGAATAATACATTTTACAAAATGTTTATTTTGAACATATCTAAAATTGAAAAATAAAGTGATTGATTTTCAATGATTAAGAGATGAAAATACAAATTTAATTTTGTCTACATTTTCGTCTCTCTGACACAAAACCGATTGCAAAAAAATAAATATTGACACAGTTATTAGCATTCGAATAACATTGTAGGACACCCTGTATACCTAGGATAATTTATTTTCATTGCATGTATTTATTGTTTTAAAACAATAAATCAAAAATGATAATGATTAAAGAAAAAAGGTATTACTGGGACGGGTGTGATACTGTTGTAGGTGGGAAGTTGGGAATTCGGAAAGGTAGAATACATAAAGTTATATAATTTATATCTGTAATTAACGATAAACCATTGCTAATGAAAAACAATAAATTCGGAGCAAAGTTTCATTGTACATGTTTTGAAAGGCCGTAATATTTACGATATTCGTTAAAATCTGATCTTAAAACAATTATAAAAAAAAATCACTACTTAAAACTCGACTTTTCTCTTTTGACCAATAAGTTCAACTTATAATGAATCTTCTTTTCAATTATAAAGCATTTCTGTTGGCTCAAACAATGATATCCACACAATAAAAATTACGTGAAAAATTCGTAGAATTAAAATATCCATAAATATCTGAAAATAGCTTAAATGTTTTGATTTTAATGCTGCTTAAATGCTTAATTTTATTACATTCATTAAAAAAAATAAAAATGAGTTTTTCATTAAAATTTCAAGTATCTACATTTATTTTTAATTAAATTACAATAAAAAATGAAAAATATGATTTACGTACATTTTCCCGTTCTTTTTAAAGTATTTTTTTGGGGGGTTTTTCTCAATTATTAAAAAAAAACTACTTTGTTACTCACCAACTAAATTAAAAATGCAACAAAATATCTTGTTGTTTTTCTATTTGCGAAATATTTCTGGTAGAAACATAATGGGTATAAATTTAAAATATTGAAATCGTTATGCCGTAAATTTGTCAGTTTTCATTTTTGTTTTTTTTTTTCGGTTTTGCTCAATTATTATAAAAAATTACAGAGAGGAATTTAAAAACGACTTTTTTCCACAAAAACCAGATTAAAAATTAAAATTAAAAAAAAATTCCTTATGTTGTTTAAATAAAGGAACGCTAATGCCATACAAATTTTTTGCATTTATAATATTTCTTTTTTTGTCTTTTACCGGTTTTTCTCAATTATTTTGAAAATCGTTTATATAGGTACGTGAAAATACGTAAAAATACGAAATGCGTCCAAAAAACAGTAACAATAGGTAAGTACCTAACCTCTATATCTGTTTTTATAATAAAACTTTGATGACTCGTTGTAGAGTATCCTTGGATAAAATAAAATATATTTTTTAAAAATAATAACGTTATTATATTTGACCCAGTTACACGCGTAGCAATTAAATTTCAACAATTTAATATAATAATATTTTACACAAAAAAAAAAAAAAAATATTACAAAAAAATATGAATTTTATCGCGTTATGATATTTATGTTTATAAAAGAACAATAATTTTTCGTTGTGTCTTTGTCTCCGCTGTCATCTCGTAGGCAAAATTATGCTACTAAGAGCATAATAACAGTTTTGAATGACACCATTGAATTGTTTAACTGATGATATTTTTTTTTTAGAGATTATAAAATTGGTATGTGATACCACGATTTCGATTTTTAATAGTTTATTCCGTTATATTTTTAAAAATTGCTCGAATTTTGAAATTGGTGAAATGTCGAATAATCCTTATGGCGCGAGCAGAGTTAAGAAGAGAAAAAATATATAATTCGAAGGGACATAGAGAAAGTTTAAACTTGTGTCGTGAAGTTTCAAATAAGTTCACTGACGAACAAGTGCAAAATACATGTTTTCTAGATACGACTGACCGTGGTTTTCGTTAAAGAGAACGTTCACGGCTGTACCTTTTCATAATACGTTATATTCATTGTAACATAAGAATATTAAAACCTATTTAAAAAGTATTCCTTTCGCAACACAAAGTATTACACGCAGGTAAATCATATTAAAAATAAAAAAAACTTTTAAAAATAATACCTAGGTTTTAATCTGAACATATTAGGTTGGTGAATATCCTATACATCATTTTTCAAGTAAAAATATACATGTTAGATACAATAAAATGCATAGGATATTTAATTTTTTTTTTTATATCTTTAACTTTTAGTACAGATTCATATTAACGTATGATAAAAATAATTTTTTCTGGATAGAAAAATAGAAGTAATATAATATTATAATACAAATTGATTCACGGAATAGTAATTGTCAGCAATACGAGTACAAATATTTTGAGTAAATCTAATATGGATAATTTGTTTATAATAATTTAATGATCTTATGAGCTTATTGTTCCAAATTAATACTTACTTATAAAACTATTTTAAATATATTTATTAAAAATAAATTTTAGCTACATAAATATGCATATGTTATGCTTAGATAACTGAAAACTACAAGTATGTTATATCTGTATCTTTATATTGACTTATTGGGGATACGTTTTATACTAGATGTCCCGCCCGGCATTTTCGGGGCAATTTTTATTTTGTTATTTCATTCGTATTACCAAGACAATAAATAAATCTATTTATCCATAAATAAATAAACAATTAGATATTTGTCTCCAAAATACCTAAAAATCCTTATTTTTTCCACTTAGGTGGTAGAATTTTTAAAAATCCTTTCTAAACGGATGCCTATATCACAATAGTTGGCTGTATGTCAAATTTCAGTCAGTCAGGTGATATATTTTACTCGTATATATACACAATATACATAACTGACCCGGTATAACATGCAAACCTTACCACCGGGATATTTGCCTAAGACAGTTTTACCCCCGGTACAATGTTCATAGGATGACCTTTCCCCCCCAAGAAGAATATCCTAGGAAAATTGTACTTGAGGTAAGGAAAATCTTACCTCCCCCCCGGTAAAATTTTCCGGGGGTATGATTTGCCTACTATACTGGCAATGCTTTGCTATTGTTCGATAATAGTGTAAATAATAACGATAGTAGTTTTCTTGTCCGTGAAAATCAAATTATAATTCTGTATCACCAAGGTAAGCTACGGATAAACAAAAATAAATAAATAAACTTGCATAAACAATTAGACATTCCTATCAAAAATACATAAAAACTTATGCATAATTCACGGGATTGAGAACGGAACGTTATGTCAAAATTTGAAAATTATTGGTAAAGAATTGTAAACTTCTCAGAAAATCAAAAAATGAACGCCATAAAATACCACTTCAGTCAAATTTTCTTTCAGAAAATCTACTACAGTTGAAAATCGGATCAAAATAAAATTGCTGGTAGAAAAGTTGTTCACACATAAAAAAAAAAAAAAAACCAATAAATATCATTGTAAAACCAAAACATTTTTCGTTCCACTCAGAATCTAAAAATCGATACACGTATTCATAAAAATATAATAATTCTTATTAAAAAACTTTTCTTGATTTTATGGAAAATAATTGGACGATGTATAAAATATTCTGAGTATGAGTTAATGATCGGAATGGATACCCTCTGCAGATCATACATGATGACCTCTCTGACTTCAGAAAATGATGTAAATTCAGTACATTATATAGTCTGTTTAAGTCTGCGTTTTATCTCCTCTCGTATTAACCAGAATTGGAGTTATGGATAGGCCTAAATAATGTCCATTCAAAAATTAATGGCTTATTCACCTGGCATCGTGGATTATGTTTTAAACCCATGAATGAAAACGAGGCGTAAGTAGACAATGTATAATTTTTTCTTTGTATCCCTAGAAAGAAGTTTGCGAAAATTTAATCATTGCATAATACCTTCTGTTGGTGGCATTCATTCTGGACTTAATCTTATTATGCATAATATTTTTATGATTTATACTAGTACCTAAGTATTTGAAATTCTCGTCTTTACATGTGTTGTTATTTTTTATTTTATAGAAAAACTGCTGCAATGATAATCTAGCAATTTTTTTTCTCAATTAAAGTATAACTGCGTGAAAAATGTACATCATTATTTCAAATTGAAATCCAAATTATTCAGTATTCAGTACGATTCGAATAATTTGGACCATTAATCGAAAAAATATATTCATTGCAATTAAAAAGAAACAATAATTAGAAATTTTGTAACGTTTATCAAATAAAATACTATTCAACGAATAATCCACATATTATTAGGTACATAGGTATAATATAAACAGAATCAGATTATAATACTAGCCGAAAGAATGTTATTCAAAAAATAAAATAAACATCATATTGAAACTATATTGACTTCTTATCACTACACTCAGAACCATCAAAAATAAACGAATTCAATAATT